CAGGGGCAGGAGCCTGAATGAGCCATAGCAGGAACATGTAAATTATGAAATCTGCAAATAAACTAAATCAAAATTTTTGCTTTTTTGAATCCACATGACACCCCAGCCCTCAGACCAAGTGTTAAATATATACCAGTTCAACACTGGAAATATCACACTGCATAAATTACTTTAATGCACAGGCTACTTAACTAGCTACATAATTTTTTAAGAAAAAGTCATTTTCAAATAAACAAATAGAACAAAATGTGAAATAAAAATCTACTTCAAAGAAACTGATAAAAATTAACAGAAAGGAGCTCTTTCCATAAGCAGCCCCAGGTGACCTCTAAAATGGCTTGCTATTCACTTGACCCAGAAAACTGCATAAAAGTTATGCAAATCAAGAGGTTCAAATCTTTGTGTTCACTTTATGAACATTTATGAAACCACTCAGGCCACCAGGGTATGCATACCCAGAAAGCCACCAAGTACCTTAAGACTGTCACTTTATAGAAGCAGTGTGTAAATATTCTGTCATTGTAATGGTAGAGTTGGTAGGTGGGCCCAGGCCTAACAGTGGAGCTGGACACAGGATCGGTGGCCCAGAGAGAGTATGAATTTTTGCTACGCATGTTTAAAAATGCATAGAGTAATGCTGAACCTAAGTGCGTAAATGTAGATTCTCCTCTGGTCACTAAGCACATTCCAGTGAACAAAGTTCACAAGATGCGGCATTGAAATTCACTGGAATAACCATACATGACCTCTCCCTGCCACATTAAGATTATCCTTAGTGAAAAAAGAGCAAATCATTCCTAAACCAGAAGAAGAGGTTGCACAAGGAAAAAGATATTCCAGAAGACACTGACAAAACAAAAAATAAATTTATGGCCTGGGAGTTAATTAAGCATAAAATAAATGCTAATAAAAGTAAGATAATAATAATAATGGAAAGGAAACACTACATCTAGATATTCCATTCCATCTGAAAATTTAATAGCTCTTCAAAAATAAAAGCATTTTCCTAAAGGTGCTATAGCATTGGTTCATCTCGTAGAAAAGTTCCTAACTTTTTCAATAGCTTCAGTTAAAAACAATAAATTAAACTCCTCTGTGATCGATCAACCTTCAATATTTAAACAAACACACAGTCTCAGGATTTGTTCTTTTATGTTTACTTTCCATTAAAGATTATAAAGACTTTCAAGTAAAACAAGTGAAATACTGCTACTGATCTTTTAAAAAATCCATTATACACAGCACAATAAAATTTTGTAAAGAAAATGACCATACCTCATACCATGACAACTTTGGCAAATCCAGTAATTATGAAATACGAAATGTTAGAATATCAAAATACCTATTTTGATACTTATTTTAAATATCTATAAACCTAACCTTACAACATTGGCCTGATATTTTTCATAATCTACTTGGCATCAGTTTACCTGCCAGCTCATTTTCTCAGCCCTAGTATGTGTTCCTTCACCAGATTCTCTAATTACTTCATCAGACTGGGTCTACCACACTAAGGCTGGAACCATGTAAAAGTCTTGGGCTGGAGAAGCTACCTTAGTACCCAAGAGCCTTTCCTGTTGCTGGTGCCTCCAGTTTACTTTGACTTACATATATTTGCTTAAAAATCATTACAAACCAACCATGTTGCAGGCCTTGTACTAGGCAGTGAAGATATAATGGTAGGTAAGATAAACAAGGAGGGCAGTCTGCTACGAGAGATGTCCACTGAACAAATAATCTCACTAAAAATCGTTATTATAAATTACCATAAGTGCTATGAAAGAGAAGTAAATGACTCAAGCAAGACCTGAAGGATGGTGATGAGAGTTCCAAGCAGAGAAAGCAGTACTTTTTCAGTTCCAGACATACTGGTTCCACCTTTCCTGAAACTTTTATTTCCACATTTGCTGTCTCTTGGCATTTTTCTCTTGAATTTCATTGCATTTGCTACCAACCCTGGCCTTCTCCTTCTATCCCCACAATAATATCAGCAAATATTTATCGAGTACATGCTACTTGGAAGATATCATTCTAAGCAATTTAAATACATGAACTCATCTAATCCTCACAGTGACCATACTGAGGTAGGTTATATTTTCCCGTTTTATAGATGAAGAATCTGAGGCACAACCATGCTAAGTCACTAGTCTAAAATTGCACAGCTACAATTGTGGGACTTGTGGGACTAGTCCTTGTGTGTCCCTTATCTCCCTCATAACTTAACCACTCTTAGATACCACAAGCCACCAAGTTAAATTAGCTCTCCTGATGGAAAAGAAGGCCAAGTCCCCTATATCCTCCAACTGCCACCATCTTCAACTAGGCTGGAGCATGCAATTTTTCTCTAGTTTTCAGAAATTAGGAATAAAAAATTGACCAAGGTAGCCTACATTAAAACATCTCCAAGAGCAAGAAAAATGTTTGTAGAAAAAGTAATACATTTTTACAAAGTTATTGACCCAGAAAGTAAAATAATAAAAACTGGGCAAGGAGGAAGAATTATAATTTATTTGATTCCTTCTGTACCTCCAAGGAAGAGGAATATAAGAGAAATTTTTATCTCTTTTAATTCAAACTCCTAAGTATTTTACATGTACTTGCAAAACAAAATAAATATATAGTAAATTGGCTATGATGCAGAAGAAATTCCCAAAATCAATATTTTTTAGGTAAGTACCTTTTAAATATTTTTTAAAAAAGAAATTACTATTAGATGACCAAGATCTCACTCAAAGCTACATTTTGATATTTTTTAAATTTTCTCTTAAAATCAAGTTTAATTTATAATTCACCTTCAATGGTGATGTGAAAAACAGTGATTAAGTGGGTGATTGATACAAGTGTGTGTGTGACTCATAGTTTGCAAAGGAAATGCTTTTTGGAAAAAGGCTCAGGGAAAAAAAGCAAATAATGGATTCTGGAAGAAATGCAGACCTTTCCTGTCCAAGGACCGTCACCAGTTCTTTATTACCTGAAGATTAAGAGATAGTGAACACGGCTGTCTGCCAGACAACAGAAGAGGTAAGAAATAACATTGTCTCTAAGTGTATCTCACTGGAAAGTTCTCAGAAACAACATTCATAAAATTATACCTTCTATAAAAAGTTACTAGAAAACCCAACTCAAATCAGAACAATGCAAATGTCAAAATAAAACATTACATTTGTCAGGAACTTCCACAGAATGAAACAGCAGGGGAGGTCAACTTGTAGAATTGTCTAATTTTATTCCACTTTGTTTTGGGGGGCGGTGCAGATCCAATGCTGATTTAGAGGAGACCTAGTAGGGTTTGTTTTTATTTGGTAGCTTTTCTACTTCATGGGTCAGTGCAAAATACTTTTTTTTTTACTACTAGGTTTCACCAAATTTATACAATGAGTTTTGGTTTTTAGTTCCAGAGATCAAATACTAGCCATCAAAAGTTCTACATTTTTACAAACTGCCCCTCCCTTCTCATATATATCTCAAATATATTATATATATATTATAGATATATACTTCTTCAAAACACATTTAGGCAAGGATATTAATGCTATCCTTGCATTATGAATCTTTAAAAACAATGAAAAGAATTTCATTTTGATAAAGTCATTTAACCAGAATTTTATCCAACTTCATTTTTCAATTTACATTTTTATATGTATTATGGAGTCCCTACAATATAAGAGCATTGAGCTAGGTGTTTTACATATAATCTCATTTAAGAACACTGGGCTTTTGTTATATACAGTCTGAAGTTACGGTAAACAGAGCATTTTTATGATGAAGCAACCTAAGCCACATCACTGATGGCTTGTACATGAGCAACATCCTGCAGTCCAGCATTCCTAACAGATGTAGCTCAGAACTTAGTTTATGAACACTATGTGATCTAACTTGAAGAAGTCTCCAAAAAAATCTCTTTATAGATATTAAAGCATTTTCATATCTCAGACCTTATATAGTCCTGCCAGCAATACTATAAATAACACAGGTGTGATGATTAATATTATGTGTCAACTTGGCTGGGCCACAGTGCCCAGATATTTCATCAAACATTATTTTGGATGTTTCTGTGAGGGTATTTTTTTTAAATGAGATTAACATTTAATTAAATTGTTGGACTGGGTAAAGCAGATTACCCTCCATAATGTGGGTGGGCCTTATCTAATCTAAGGAAAGCCTTATCAGGACAAAGACCACCTCCCTGGAACAAAAAAGAATTCTGCCAGTAGACTGCCTTAGGACTCACACTGTAACTCTCACCTGGGTCCCTAACCTGCCACCCCACTCACACTAGGTCTAAGAAAACAGAACAGGAATTCAGATCTTTACTTTTGTCTCTCCGTCATTCCTGAAAAAACACTAAAATTCTTAAGAAAATAAAATAAAATTCAGTTTTCTTTTAAAATAGTTATATAGCAAAACCAATCGACCCTGGAAAACAGTTCAGCATATCCTTAAAAAGTAAGCGTTGGGTTACCACTTATTTCACTAGGCATATACCCAAGACAATGGAAACTATACTGTCCCCACAAAAACTTATACATGAATGTTCATAGCAGCATTATTCACAGTAGTTAAAAAAAGTGGGAAAATAAATGTTATCAACTGAAGAATAGATTTTTTTAAAGTGGCATATGATTCAGAAATAAAGAGATACATGCTCCAACACAGATGAATATTGAAAACATGCTAAGTAAAAGAAGGCAGTTGCAGAAGTCCACATATTATATAATTCCATTTATATAAAGCATCCATATTAGGCAAATCCGTAGAGACAAAAAATAAATTAATGGCTGCCAGGCTCAAAAAGAAGGGAAACAACAGAGAGTGAATGCTAATGGGTATGTGGTTTCCTATCAGAGTGATGGAAATGTCCCTGAATTAGATGGTAACAATGACTGCACGGTCTTGTGAATATACAAAAATCCACTGAGTCACACACTTTAAAATTGTGAATATTAAAATAAGTAAATGATATCTCAATTTAAGTGTTAATTTTAAAAAAATCAACTTACCTGCCCTTTTTGTGGTGCCAAACAACGAACCACTTCGTCCACCATTACTGGGACATGTAATTTACTCCTAGCTTCAGAACCTCCATCTTGAAATCTGTGGGACTCCTGAGCTCCAGTCTGGTCTGTTTGATCCAGGGCTTCATACTCCTCACATCTTTCTGCTGTAGCATGTATCTTTTTTGGCCAGACACCTAAGTTAAATATGCCAGCTTCCAGCCAGCATGAAAGAAATTCTGCATAGGTTCTATAAAAGCATGGGTATCGAAGCATTCTGTAGGTCAACAAATCTAGAAAAAAAATTTTTAAATATCATAATTGTTGGATTTTTTTTAAAAAATGTTATAATACCTCGAGGAAAGTAAATATATAATATTTAACTCAAAAAAATGTAAGACTTGTCATCTCAAACAAGTGATGGTGACTAATCTCCTTATGCAAAGCAAGGAACCCAAAACAACCCAAGAAAATATCTAAAAATATAAATTTTAATGTGACCTAATTAGCTCTAAGACCATCAATCTTTTAACCATCAGAAATGTGAAAATTGGTTATTTAGTCATTATTTTTCTGAAATATTGAGTTACCCAAAAAGTCCCTATGTTTTTTTTTCCATAAAATAAAACACATTTTTCACTTTCACCGATAACTTTACTGATTTGGATATTTTGAGCATGTCACATATCTCCCATGTGGTATAATGTTGATTGTTTTCAATTAATGTCTTGAGTTGATTGCTGTCAATTTCAACTGGTCCACCTGACCATGGAGCATTGTCCAGCGAGAAATCTCCAGCACAAAACTTTGCAAATCACTTTTGACACATTCAATCAGTCACAACCCCCTCTTCATACACTGCACAAATCTTTTTGTGTGTATTTCAGTTGCATTTTTACCTTTCTTGAGGTAATAAAGCATAATATGCTAAATACATTGCTTATTTTGTTCCATCTTCAATATTAAAATGGCTACATAAAAACTCATCAATTTTGGTTAAGTTTTTTTTCAAATGCACAATGATATGACAGGTATCACAATACAAACTTACAAAATTGTTTCGAGTGAAGTTAAAGACAACTGAGCACTACTAGAGCCATCTTATGAAAAAAAAACCTAATTTTTTGGCCAACCCAATATATGTACTTTTTTCATTTTAATTGAGTCTAAAGAATGGATTCAGTGCATCAGAACTGTTTATTTGAAAATCATATCTGGGTGACCGAAGGGATTACAAATATTATACTATTTTAGGTTTAGGTAGTCTTTCATTTCAAGCTCTTCTATTTGTTTTTCTCATAATACTTCATCTTCAATTTATAAGAAAGTGCCCCTGGAAAAAGACTATGCATGTATATCCAAAAATAAAGGGAGATGATCAGTGTCCCTGAAAGATGAAAATTTTATAAACTTGTCATGAACATTCTCTGAGGAGATCATCTCACCACAGCCTATTTCAGGAAGTATTTTTTCAATTTAACCTGTACTTTATTAACACTGAACAGAGCACACTTTGACATTTCGTACCCACCTTTGTTTTGTTTGTCCCTTGACCCTCCAAAACAAGCAAATAAAAAATTGATACACCCTTCATTTTTTCATACCTGCTCCATTTTATTCTGCAATGTGTAACTCTTTAAAATGCAGGAAGAATGTAAATACATCAATAGAAGATCTTGTGAAAACATTATGCTTTTTACCCAATTTGTTGTAGTCAACATGTTTGATGTGACATACTGCATGAAGTACCAAATTAACACTACTCTTTCTTCCTCATGGATTATGAGTCATTTAAGAGTAAGACCCACACCCTTATAGCCACAATATAAGATGTGCATTAGGTGCTTAATAAATGTTTTCTGAAAAGAAAGTAAATAGATGGATAAATTCCAGATTCTGCAGAATTAACATTTTTTATCAAAGCTCGCTTTAGTAAATTTCACCTGACTGACCCTACAAAAAGCCACTTTCTCAAAATACTTCAAGAAACATAAATCCTGCTTAAATATGCCTTCCCTCATTTTTGCAATTGAAAATGAAGAATAATGTTGAAGAGTTAATCACCTGTAAGGACTAGAGAAGAAACACAAACATATCTATCTCTATGTATTTAATATTATATGAATATAATATCAAGTTGTTACCTTGAGGATAACATGACTTTACCAAACACATAATACACAGAATTATGTGACTAATATATGGCAAATATCAAGAAATGTATGGCAAAAAATAGATTGCAAATAAGTGTTTTAAGTAAAATCCAATTGTTCAATAGTGACAAGTTAGCCGAATGAATAATCATGCTTTGTTTTCCAAAGGCGCATACAAAGTAAACTCAACTACTCTTCAACTTAGTATTTCTAACATTTTTCAAAATAAAAGCTAACATTTATTGAGCATAAGTACCACTTACAGTTCTTTTATTTTTGCTTATCCTCACCTGAGGAAATTTTTTCCCCTTGCTTTTAGAGAGAGAGGAAAGGAGCAAGACACACATCTGTGTGAGAAACACTGACCTGTTGCCTCCTTTATGCTTCCAGACCAGGGGTCATATGCACCGGGACCAGGGATCGAACCCACAACCTAGGCATGTGCCCTGAGGAGGAATCAAACCCTCAACCTTTCGGTTATGGGACAATGCTCCAACCAAGGCACACCAACCAAGGCACACCAACCAGGGCAGTATCAGTTACAATTCTAAGCATACCACATGTACTAACTCATTCAATCCTTACAACTCTTAGAAGTAGCAACAGTTATGTTCATTTTAAAAATGAGGGAAACAAACACTGTGCCAAAAGGTCACATAGTTTGAATGCTAGAACTGTAACTCCACCATTCCAACCCCAAAGCCTACAATTTTATCATCTATGCTATAAACAGAGTCCACGGTCTCTATTCAATACACTTTTGTGATTGAATGGTACTTTAATTACATTAACAATATATTGTACTATGTCATGAATTAGTCTCCTTTTTTTTTTTAGGAGCCAATATCCTATTGTTTGGTCCATTGGTCCTACCCCACTTGGAAAAATGAAAATACAGTGTACTGTGGGGTACCCAAGAGAGGACACACAATGTACAATGTACTAAACAGTGCAATCTGCAATATTTAAACAATCTAAATTGTCCAGATTTTGATAGGTTTTTAAAGAACAAGCCATAAAATCAATTACAATACAGGAATCAGCAAGTAGAATAGAAAAAAAATGCCGCCTTCACCACCATTTAATTCATTCCTTTTGTAATTAATTTCTGTCTATTTACTCAATTATGTTCAAGTAACAAAGCCTAAAGATTTTATTATGCACTAATTGGCTATTAACATGGGTTAACATGGAGTAAGAATCACAATAATTTTCGTCTTCGTTTCCTTGAATACCTTGCAAGCAGGCAACCTCCAAAGGGAGTACCTTCCCTGTCCTCTGCAGACCAGTCTCCCACCAGGTAACCCAAAACCACCCACCCTAAATGATCAATTTCTGTTCCCGCTGGTCACAGGAAGAAAACAGGGAGTCAGGAAACCTAACCTTTCGAGTCGCCTCTCTGGTTTCTTAAGTCATTTAACTTTTCTCTACCAGCAAAGTTCAGTTTAAACTGTTGAGACCAGGGAATTGGGCAGGTTACTCTTTTCATCGTGGAAAGACAAAGGGGAGTCATACCTTTGAGAACTACTTTCTCAACTACCATCGTTGCAGTCAGCTTTCCCCGCAGAGAAAACTTAGAAAAATCAATTCCTAAGGCCAAAAACTTGACCTGGAGGCAGGCACCGCAAAGCAGATAAAGCGAAAGTTCTAAAGGAAAGGGGAAAATACATCCTTTGACCTAAGAATTATACTCTGACGACTTAAAACTGCTTAGAAACTTATGAACTCAGGATGCAAAGGTGTGGAGGAGGAGGAAGCACAACAAGCAGGAGCAGGGGCGAGTGTTTCCTTAGCTTTGGGAGCATTCGGCGACCTCTGGAAGTTCCCCCCTTAAGGCGTGGGATGAGCTCCAAGAGAGCTCCCGGGACTGAGCCACCTTCTCCTCACCTGAGGCACGAAGATTGCTCAGTTGGCCTCTACCTTGGGCCACCAACGACCACTACGGTGCCGGAAAGCTTGAACTTGCCGCACGCCTGGATCCCAGCCCTGGGGGAAACTTGAAAGGACGGACAGACTGGGTCTACGTCCGGCCTAGCAACCGAGGAACGTCTGCCTTTCGTTCCGCTGCTTCCAGCCCCCAGCTGCCAAAGGGTCTTGGAGGCGCTGTGGTTTCCAAAAGCTTTTCCTTCGCGGGGAGAGGAAAAGGGAGGGTGGTAAATAAGACCCTACCATTGCCATGTTTAAGTTTTTGTTTTTTAAATGTCCGATGCAACTTTAAATCTAACTTTACATTTTATCTTGATCTCCACTCTAGCCAGTTTACTATGAACCTATGTTAAATTTGTGTTCTAAATAACACATAAGTTAGTTATATACCAATTTTCTTTAAATGGTGGGAGTTTTTGTCCCCTTAGCACTCTGCGTCTGAAGTTTTAGTTCTTTTTCCTTCATTTCCATACAAAATACGCCCGTTTCTTATCTCTATTCTCTAATGTCTCGTCAAACTAAAGAGAGCTGGCACAGAAATGATATTGATTATAACGTTAAAACTTCTCTGCTTTAACTACACATACATTCCTTAAAAATATGGAACTCATCTGGACACTGCTTAAGGCAAGCGTAAGGCAGAATTTAAGTTCATGTAAAATAAGTACTTAGATTACGTGTGGAAACACCTGTTAGACTGGTAAGACTTATACAATGTCGGTTTCAAAAACAATGAATTTGAGATTTCTTTCTTAGTCACCAATGATCAATTTTACAAGAAATTGGTAAAACATGTCTGTTTTTTCAGACTGGATTAGAGTAGCATCTTAATATACCTTGATCTGGGATGTATTTCAAAAAATAAGTTACTCAATTCTGAATTAGCTGGTTTGTACATTCTAAGAAAAATATTTTCCTTTAGGGATTTTCTGAAAACTTCAATTTCACTTCAGTAAAATAAACAGTCATGGGCTGTTTTAAGAATTAAATGATATAACATATGTAAAGTTAATCAAATGACTGGGACATCAAAGATAAAGTATTATAGAATGAGTGCATAGCTGAAATAAAATAAAGGCGTCTCAGTTTTATTAAACCCAACATCACACAAAAAAACTTTTGTATTTGCTAAGATATATGTAATACAGCCAGTAATTAATAGCTTTATTGATGTTCTATCCTATGTTTGAAAACAACCATACAACATGCATCATACTCAGTACACAGTGCTTCTGATTTTCTTCCACGGGAAATAAATGTCCATCTTATGGGGGCTTTCCAGACATTGTTTCACTTATATTACTCTGCACTGGTGTTGTGCTATCTTATACACATGTGGTGATATTGAATCACCAGAATATAAGCTCCAAGATGGAAGGAATATTGACATAATTGTGTGCTATTATGTCCCTAAAATCTACAATCAATAATTATTAAATAAATGGATGCAATAATGGTAATACAGGGTGGAGCAAAAGTCAATTTATGGTTCATATGGAAAACAATACAGTAACTAATAAATATATAAGAATAAACTGTTTCTCGTATTCACAACTGTAAGCCTACTTTTACCCCATTCTGTATATGAAACAATGAAATTTGGATCATACTATTAAAATTTTTATGACAAAGAGTTATAGCAAAGATAGTTTCCTTTTTTTCCAGGTATGTTCTAAGTGTACATTCTGAAACAATACCTAAAACCTAGTACTTAAAAAAACTCCACTACATCCAATAATGAACTAGGCTAATAAATTTATTTTGTAATGCCATTATTAGAAAGAAACCTAAAGAGCAGCCAAACGCCAGTTTTACAATCAGCACCAAAGGAAGTAGGGGAAATAGGCTTGGGAGTCCTGAGAGATGAAACCTAGGGCCTCAAACCAAAAGCCCTGGACTTTCAATTAACTGAGGCTTATCGATCCGGTTGGGTCCAAGTGAAAGTAGCAGGAAGGACCAGGCCCCCCATACCTTCCAGACCTTGGGACCTGTGCCTTTGGAGGCCTTCCTAATCAATAGAGAAAAGAAGAAAATAAACACCCCAAACCCCTTAATCCACACACTACAGGCTCCGCCGTTCCCTCTGGCAGAGGCCCCACACCAACCCCTGCACACACCGGTCTCACTCACACCCAGCACCCCGTGACCAGCCCTGAGCCCGCGCGCCTGAAAGCTGCTGATAATCCCAGGTGGCTGACTCCCACCTGCAGCTCCGGCCTAGCCCCGCCCACCGCGGCCACCGCCTCCGGAAACAGCCGTACGCGTTGCCACGGAGACGCGAAGCAGGGCGCCTTCCGCTGAGCCGCGCGGACGGGACTCTCGGAAGCGGCTGCAGCGCGCCGCAGCAACGTCGGGCGTGATGGCGTAACGAGGACGGCAGCCAATGAAACGAGGCGCCGAGGAAGCTGGCTTAGGTTTGAATCTTTTGGTTGAGTTTGAGTCGCTAGGAGGCTGGCCTCGTAATGAAGAGTTACGGTATCCTACCCTGGGCCTGAAGTGAGGAAAAGGTATTCTTGGAGAAAAGTCAGGTCTCTGGACACTCTTTTTGATGACCTGCTCAACTGGAAGCGGAGGAGTCCTGCCGTCTCGAGCGTGAAAGACCAGGTGGGCTTGTTAACAAAAATGGAAGCGTTGAAGGGACAAGAGGGAGAGGGGTTGGAGGGCGATGCGGGTGGTTAGGGTCCTTGAGGAGAAAGCTAAAGGAAGAAGGAACTCGAGAACCCACTAAAAATGTGGCTCTGTCTGATCCGAAGTCCACAGTCGCTTAGCAGGAAGGGCAGTGATCTCCTGCCTTAAATCCCGAGGAAGTTGAAGTTTTAAAGGGCATCCTGATGGCCCCTTTCCCAGTGTTCAGCAGAGCACTTTCTGTCCAGCGCTTTACAATGTAAAGTTAGTTCCGGATCCCAAATTCAGAGTGTTTTGTTTCAGACACAGATGTAAATATAACTGGGCTTAACTTTCAAATGAGGAACCTTAGTTCATTAACTTATAAATTTTTTGTCCGGCGTGGTTCTGCTGTTAGTCTGGCAAGAGTCAGTCCGGGCCCTGCCGGGAGGCCCGAGCATCAGTGTAAGACCTGCCAGCACTGCCTAACGGGGAGATGAGGTATGCTTGGCAAGGGACTTGAAGCACTGAGAATCAGTCCTCCTAGTTTCTTTTCTTAGTTTCTGCAAGACTCCAGTCCAGGCACTCAGTTACAGACAGGTCAAGGCTGACTGCTGTTTATGAGAAGAGATTTGACCAGAACTGAATAACTTTGCAGTGTAATATGTAGTTTAGGTTAATTTAACAATCAGGTAGAATGTGTTAGACATTCTACAGGTTCTAGTTGATAGTGTTATTCCACCACATCCAGCCACCACGTTGAATTTTGGAAAATATATATTGAGCGTAGGTTCTGGAGAATATAAGATTCAGAGATTAGAAAGGGCCTGTTACTAAGTTTCTATTATTTTTTAAGAACTGTTCCAGTACAAAGACTATCTGCCTTTAACTGTAGTAATTAATCTCTCTTCTGTTACTGAGCAAGTATTTAGAAGTACATAACATTTTCATTTTAAAAGTGCCTGTTGTCTCACTATAAATATATTCTGAATCATTTAAGGTGCACATAAAATGACTTTTATGCTGTCAACTTTATAAAAAACAAGAAGGGAAAAATAGCCCAAATCAGTATTCCACTTCCCTGCATTTGAAATGTTTGTTCCCTGATGCTTGTAAGTTAGTCAAAGCAGTGGCTCTAACACTCAAGTTATTTCCAAAAAAAGGTTTAAGTTGCCTAGATGATGACAGTAAATGATAGTGTGGACAGTTCCTGGTCCTAAAAACTGTTTGTTGACTATGAATCTAATTCAGGTTTGAGTTTGTTTTTAAGAAATAATTTATATAACTCTATCACTCCACATTTAAAATGATTTGTGCAACATTTCTGTTTCATTGTTTGAAAGCATTCTGTTCTGATTCTCATAGAGCATAGTTAAGAACATGGTCATTGGATTTGGATCTGAGTCCACGTCCTGACTCCTCACTTACTAGCTATGTCATCTTGGCACAATTACGTATTCTGAAGCAAGGTCTCTATTTTTGTAAAATGGAGACAGTGGTAGAATCTACCTTATGTAATTGTTGTAAGGATGAATGAGATGATGAATGTCAAGTGTTTACCATAATGCCTGGCATATAGAATGTCTTCAAATGATAATTGTTATTGTTTCTGATTACTGATTGTTACTCCAAGGGTTCTCAACTAATAGCTGGTGAAAATAGAAACTGATATCCAACAAGCTCAGAGAAATCATAAGCTTTGTTTTATTTCAATATTTATTCAAGAGCTCCTGTACTAGACCCTGAGGTTTCTATCAGAAGTGGGTAAATACATATTTTTAAATTCTGTAAGAAAATTTCAGAGGTCATGTATTTATATCAGGAAGAAGGGCAATTAATTGCTTGAGTCTTAGATTTAGTCTGAGTTCAAATCCCATGTCTTGTGCTTCCAATAGTGTGCCGTTAGCCAGCTAGCCAGCTAACTTAGTCTCTCTGTACTAGTTTCTTCCTCTGTAAAACAGGAATGATAATATACCTACATCATAGGAATGTTGTGGGGATTAAATGAGAAGCATATAAATTGCTTAGCACATCTGTTGGTAGAGTAAGAACTCAAAGAAAGTATTTCATAAATACAACTTACTGTTATTAAATGGTAGTTGTGTTTAAGGTAAATTTAATAGTTTCTTGTTTTGTTTTTGGAATTAAAAATACCTAGATTTTAAAATTCAAACAGTTCAAAAGGTATAATGTGGAAAATAAGCCTGCCTGTTACCCAGTCCTTCTTATTTCCTCACCATAGCACAACTGCATTGTCAGTTCCTGTGTTCTCTCCCTGAGAAAGCCCATGCATATACAAATAGGTGTGTTAGCTTTGGAAAATACAAATGGTTGCTTGCCGAGTCCACTATTAGGCACTTTTCTTTTTTACATATATCTTGAAAATCTACATTAGTTTATGTATTCGTTTACTCAACCAGTATGTATGGAATCCTAAATTTTTGCAAAGCCTGTTCTAGGTTCTGGGGTACAGGTGAAGACCATACTCTCACAGTGCTGGTATTCTACAGGGGAAATGAGTGATAAATATTAA